TAATTGTCGACCTTTACCACCGTAAATGGAGGTACTTGCTGCAAGCTGCGTTGGTTTTGGTGTTACTCGCCTGACCTTATGGCTACGGTCGAATGTTTATGGGGTTATATATTTTAGTGCGCATGCGCTGGAAGTTCTATGCTTTAAACACCTATGAAAATATTTCACAGGGTAGATTTGCATTATTGCGACAGTCGCTTCTTTTGGGCATCACAATGCATGGCGGGGTAGCACCTTTGCCAGATGCGTAGGGGTGGCTCACCGAACTATCCCTTTTGCAAAAATGGATTTCGAATTTTCAAAATCCTTTCCTTCTGCACGCGCTACGCTTTCGCGACAGATGCCACTTGACAATAGTGACTGTGAACGTGTCTTTAAATAGGGTATTGTACGTAGCAAAAATCGAGAAGTGTGCTACCATTCAGAAAAAGTCATTATTCACGTGTATTTTGAAAAAAGTCAATAAACTATTTCGATCATTATAAAATTTTGATTTTTTCAAAATTTTCATGTAACTTCACGATCGTTGTAGGTTTTTCCAAATTTTCATGCCATAAACAAAAATTTTTTCACACCCTGACCTCGTGGCAGTAAAATCCAAAATTTTCGTCACTGCGCACCATTGACATATTTTCCTCAAGTTTATTGTTATTACCCGTGAAAGTTACGAAGTCAAAAAATAACCCTTACCCCTTTTCCGTTAGTCAAGACCGGTACTAGGCAATTTCGTCAAAAAAAAAAGTTTCTTTCAAAACGAAGGGGTTGCTCGTGAAAGTCAAAAAAAAAAAATGTCAAAAAAAAAAGTACCTACTTATCCCGTTAGAAAGTCTGCTAACCCACAAAAACCTGGCGACTTTCTGCCATAAATAATCCGCGAAACGGAACTTTCGAAAATGTTGCATCCACGCGTATTTGCGATGAAGAAAATTTTATTGTACCCAACGATAATTGGTTCTGGCGGAGTGCCAAAACTTTACGATACACTATTGTCAATGTTTCAGTAGCAGATTTCCCGCGACCGGTATGAATCGGCACTCAGCTAATTTCAGGATAAATAAAGAATTCAAGACATCATCCACAATGGGATAAATCGCATAGCAGGAGCAACCCTCGAACCACCATGGATTTTTAATAATTCAATAACCACGTGTACCCAGTACCATTGGTAGTATCTGCCATAGAACCGATACACCAGTATACACAGTTTCATACAGCTAGGGGTTGATCGCCATAAGCTCCCACAATATTCCCAACCCCTGATTTCCAATCCTACGGAAATTGACACCGGACGCAGTGGGCAGATCCCAACCCCTTCCATACAAGTAAGTCGAACGTTGAAACATTTAAGGGATGCTTTCGCTTGAAGGTCCACACCCCAATTCTCCTGGGTATAGGCTACAGGGCCGCAGCTGTAGAAATACAACAGGAATAGCAAAAAGCATTGACAATGGTAATTTGTGAATAACGCTACCTAACACCAATATTCGGCCACACGAGCCACAGATAGTATAAAATTTTTGTGTGATCGTCCGATCGAGCCGTAGAAATTTTTGAATTTTTAAAAAAAATTGTTGGATCCCGTATAAATTTTTTGTATTTTTTTTTTCTGTCACCCCTTGTCCACGTGTTAATTTTTGTAGCTAAGTCACAACCCCATCAGTTTCCAGGATTATCGATAGTGTCACGTGACAGGGGTAAACATTTATTTGTATAATTTTCATTAATTTCACACTGATATTTTGTTGCCGGTAATTTCGTAATAACCGATTGTAAATATTCTACATGCCCGAATGCTCGTAGGTGAAATTTAATATAAATATATTGTAATTCGGGAAGGTGGGTCTGAAGTGCTTTAATTATTCAGATTCGATAAAGCGTCACGATTTAACGGCACTCGCGTAGGCGGAACGGGGTATTTAAATACTGTGAAATTTGTGAAACGGTAAGAGGGACTCTGCGATTAGTGGAATCTAATTGAAATGAATATTTCACGCGTTTGACACAAATTTCGATTTATTGGATAGTACAAAAAAAAATTTTTTTACCCCATTAACATAACTTCGTTTCATTATTACGCGAATGGCACGCACTTCGCGACCATTAGAGATTAGGCCAGGTGTCATTCGGTATTACGATTTGTTGTATTGTTATCGAAAATAACCTGAACCGCATCCATTAAATAGTACGAAATACGGGGAAGGGGCTAAAAGCCGTAATTTTGGTAATTTCGATTTTGGTCGCGTGATTCGATGGTAACTGGGATGGAATAAAATTGTAAAAAAATTTTTTTACTACTATACTCATATTTTCGCAAAAAAATTTTGCTCTCTTTATAGGTAAGCAAATTTATAATCGAACGAAATTTTATTTGAACACTTGGAAATTTTCACCTGCAACTACTCTCCGTGCTTTTGGCGCGTAGTTTTTAACGTAAAACTTCACTTTTTGTATACCGATCACGTGCCACTACTTTTATTTTCGTGGGTGCATATGGAGTGCACCTTGGTGCACCTATGCACGTGGTTCGTTATCCTGGGAATTTGGGGTTTCGAGGGTAACGGTTGGTGGAATTCATCAGAGCGTGTAAATACACTTGGACCAGGTTGCACCGAAAAACGTTCAGCACGACCGACATAGTTAATTCGTTAAAAAAAAAAAAGAAAAAAAAATAACGCCATCGAATATCCAACGTAAGACATTATACAGTCGAATGGATATAAAAAAAAAATTTTATATATTTCATAAATTTCCATAAGTTTCATCCTCGCGTAAAATAAGCCATTGCCTTTCGAATACCAGGAATTTGCTTAATTAGCAGGTAAGTAATTAACAGTAGCCAACTATATATAACTAAAGTCATTACACGTCCTGAAGATTCTATTTATTTTTTTATTCTTTCTTTCCACAATTTATCGACAACGAAATAAACTTACCCGAGTTCACTTAGCCCTTGCGAAATTTTTTTATCAGTTTACGATTCAATAATTTTATACGACTGAATCTAAAACAGACGTTTTACGTCTAATTGAGCGTCCGCGTTAATATCAAATCTGATACCAAGAATAAACTGTCATATATTACTTAAATATATCCATTTCAAATTAACAGTACCAAAGCATACGACACTTCCTATACGATACTCGTATATCAAAGACATCAAGAATCTCCTCGTAAATCACGTTATCCTCCGTAATGAAAATATATGATAAAAATGTAATATTTCATCAAATAATTCGTAGGCCCGTAAAAAAAAAAAAAATAAAATAAAAAAAATTTATTTGATCTTCCGCCATATGGCCACTTCTCGCGTATTAAGATTCCAGCAAGGAATTCCACGATGCCTTTATTTTAATTAGGACTCCCGCTGGTAGGTACCACGATAAACTGTCCTAAAATACGAGTAGGTGGTTAGCACAAAGCTTTCGGTAGCGGGTGTACCAGTATTAGGTATAATATTAGGTATAGGCACAAGGCTCGAGTTATTTTTAGAGGTAGCGGCAGACTCTTTTGAAGCTACGTATTCCGTCATCATTTAAGCCTCCAGGGCCAATCGGAAGGCGTAGACGTCGGAGCCTCGTGTTTCTCCAGGTTCTTGGACGGGCGCCCAATATCTCAGGCCATATGACTCGGTGATCTTAAATGGTTCACAAATTGGGCCCCGCGCAAACTGGCCCAGAGCAAAATCTAATCTACGGCTAACTTCACGTAAATTGCAGCTGTTGGCTTTTCCATCAGAGCAACATATTGAAAAGTAATTTGACTTTTGGGGCATAACGACTTTATGCACTGTCGCGTGACACTGACCTGGGTCTACGGGGATGATCTTGCAAAATATTCGATGCTTGGTACAGCCACTGGATCGACTATGTATATCGTCCATTTATCTGGGCGAGTCAATCGGATTTTGATCGATTAATTGAATAGGGAAATAGTCGAAAAAAATTTAATCCACCTGAAAATTCCAATCGGGATTTTCGAAAATTGGATCCGGGAACTCCGACGAGGTTATATATATTTGATTGTAATTTTTTCTTTTATTTTTGGATTATTCTGCCGCCTTTTTCATCGATCCGGAATAATATTGATTTTACGTAATTGATATGTCAGATATTTAATATTCACATTGGCCTTCGATATATTACGGTATGCGTGATATTAAATGCTTGCATATACAGAAGACGTGACTCGTATTTATTAAAAATTGACTTGAACGTTTCCAATAAATCTATAAATCGTAAAAAGAGCTTTGGTATTTTATTATGACATAGTTGCATATAAAGAAAATACTTCGGTCGACAATTTTTTTTTTTTTTTTAAACTTACGGAAAAGGTTAAATTGACGAAGTAAAATTTTTTTCAAAAATTCTCCAGACACGAGTGACCCGCTGACACTGCAGCCGGTGTTAATGGTGACCTAAAGGATTTCGACCCACCCTCAATTCACAGGAGCGTTTTTATCAAACCCTTCACAGACCCAGAAAAAAGAGGGTTGGGAAAACGAGGTGAAAAAACTGTTGAAAACAAAAAAAAACTGAAAAGGAAAGTCTTTCACTAACCCCAGTGGAGATTTTGAAAGTAGCGACAGTATACCCGATTGCATGTAACTCCGTTGGCAAGGCGTCGAACTTTATATCGCTGGCATATAGTAGATACCAGTTTACTAACTCTTTAAACTCCCTAACCGTGTTAAGGTATTGGCAGAACTGGGCAAACTTTATTGCTGCATTACGGTAAGCGAACGGACTGTGGGCAAACACTTTAATTTACGACGAAGATTTCCTTTCATTTTTTTACCTCCTCTTTTTTTTTCTTTTTTTTTTTTATTATTACTTTCTTCAGAATCCAGACTTCGTCCGATCTCACGCCGCCTCCACAATTTTAGCGACTTCACGACCATTTCCGACCGCAGCACTTCGTGAAGGAAACGTGAAAGTATCATAAATAAATATCGTCCCATGAGGTTTACTGCGGGTCCTGAAGTTCCTAGGGTCCCTAGGAAGAAGCGTGCCAGAAGAAATGTAGGGAAAGAGACACGAGTTGGTATTCCTGTTAAGAAAGCACGTTTAAATGATTTTATGGTATAATATATTTTTCCGACTAAATATAATGCATTTCAGTGTACAGTATGACTGAAGTATAGTTATATCGTTATACGAGTATACGAACGAACGAGAAAACACATTTTATACAGTAAAGAATATTGTGTACGTTATCGTTAAGGTTTCGGTGGTTACGATAATTTTTTTTTTTCATGCTTTTCGAGATTCGAAAAACGCGCCATTACGCGTAAACGTTAGATTTTCCTTTACATTTCCGTTTCCGTGGTTCTTACTCGTCATACGTTGAAAATAAACTTTATCGCGTCACTGGCAATAACACTCGCGCCATCCGAAAAGATAAGGATTTGTATTTCCCGCGTTATCATACTCAACCAAGATTTTCCTTCGCTATAAATTAATTTTTTTTTCTTCCTTTCGCGACAAGTATTGGTCGCAAATAAAATCAGCCGACGGTGGCGCCACTTGCCCTTATCCCTCGCAGTCGAGAAAATTTTTGTTTTAATTTAAAAAAAAAAGTCGTTCTATTTAAAGTAAATTTTATTGCTTATGAAAAAGTATACATTCTCGTGTAATTCTCGGCGGGAGATAGCCAGTAATTAGCAACTCGTAAAGATAACGATTTAATCGCTAATTAAGCGGAATCTTTATTTCGAGTTGGTCCATTCGCCATTGGCTGCGCTCTTTATATCTTGCGCTTATTGGCCGCGTTTAATTAATTTTCATCTAAATTAAAGGTCCGCAAAGGAATTCCTTATGGGTTGCATTACATTGAAACGGGTACAAAATGCTCATTGAGATTTCGATATACGTACCAAGCCTCATTCACAATCGTTGCTGTGCTTCGTTCGTTAAATGATAAGACGATACTAATTAACGTTAAAGCAGTGTGGCCATCGTGGAAAAAAAAAGAAAGGAGCCCTGTGACACGTCACCTTTGATAAGAAAAATTTCATAAGGAGTCAGTACCAGAAATTTAAAAAAATCGTATTCGTCCCATTCGTGCGACGTATAAATTTTTCAAATTCGTAAAAAAAATTCCCACTCGAAAATCGACCCGTAAAAAATCTGCTCACCGATTCCCTCGAACCCCGAGATCGAATCGACAGGAAGTATCCGAATAACAGGCACAACTTTCTTTGATTCTGACAATAAGAAAGAAACAATATATTTTTTTTTGTCCGCCCCACTTCCTTCATACCACCACAAAGAACTTTAATTCGAGTGCCTATAACAGTGTGGCAAAAGCAAAGCAAGTAGAGAGACCAGTGCTTTTCATCCAGAGCGTCCATACCTCTTCGCAACGTAGCTTCGTATTTCAAAGAGACACCGCTTTTAGAAACGGCGTTCTGCGACGGAATGAAATGGAAAAAAAAAAAAAATTATTATTGGCGCAAGCAACGAACAGTCTGTTTCCTGAGCTACCGAAAGGGGTTTAATGCCACCAAGAACCATAAAGCTTACCCAACGGAGTACCGTAAAATTTTCATCCCGCATTCCAATCGATTTCCAAATCAAGGTCGGACTTCCGGTCGGTCGAAAAATCCTGTAAAAAAATTTGGATAAATAATAAAAAAAAAATTTGAAAAATGTTCAACCAAGCATCGCGCAAAACAGTCACCGGCAGTATCACTGTCGCATCCTCATCTATCTGATACATCCAGTCCTAGTGATCACGTCAGTGGGTAGCGATGACGACATGGTGGCAGCCTGGAAGCAGGAAGCGTTACTGGGGGAAAAAAAAAAAAAAAATGTAATTACACCCGGAATGATAATGAAGTTTACATTTTAATAACCGGCCGTGTCGCCAGATGGCTCTGAATGCAATATTAATGCCCGCTGCATTTACAGGGCCGTGCTATACTGTAGTGTACTAATATACCTACCGGCACTGGCTATACTTGTGGCACGAGTCTCTTCGGAGCGTCGCGACGCCCTAGCGTTAACACTACGATATATTTATATGTATATGGCTGTTATTGCATTTGGCAAAGAATGCCGTTCCACTTCGCGTCATAATATATTAGCGCCTTTCCCCCCTTTGTCTGACCCCCGTCCCCGCCGCCCCTGGACCCCCTGTCTCTCTTCGCAAATGAAGCACTGTACTCCTTTACAGGATCGTGAATACTTTACGGAAGCACGGACCGAATTTTTAAATAATGAAATTGCTCGCTGCTTGTTCTTGTAGCTGGTTTCTTTTTTGACAACCAGACTTGTTACGGACTTCGCGCTGGCTTTGTACTTTATTACTAAGGGCAGTGGAATTTATTGTAAGTCTGCCGTGAGTCACTCCGGACTTTATTCAGGTATCGGATAAGGATCCTGATTAAATTGATCAGACGCTTGATTACTCGATAGACTCCAGGGATGTGGATATTATGCTGTCCAAAGGAATTCTGCAGCTGAATCTACTGCGGATTAGCCAAACTTCCTGGGACTGTAATTGCGAACCACCGAGTCGAGGGAGGCTGTGGGTCCAGGCCTGTTTTTGGTTTCTGGGTTTCTGGAATAAGCTACAAATAGGCAGGGTAGTTTTCTGTCTGGTGATAAAATGAAATTTGAAAAAGTTACTACGCTGGAATGTACGTCGGATTTTTTTGAAAAAATTATTTTTTCTTATTCTTTCTTGTCACTGTTACCTTGTGCAATTTTTGCGTGCATTTTTTTTTACACTGCAGTTCAATTAACGTCACGGTGAAAACGAAGCGATGTATGTAGTACTTGGGTGGAAAAGGGTTGAACAACACGTGATCATGATTGCTGAACAAATTAGATTATAATAAGGGTTGAAAGTTGAGAAGTGAAAAAAAAAATGGGAGAAAGACGGATCACTTGCAAGGTATGTAACCATGGTACATAGGGTATACGTATTAACGTGTGTATAATATACAAAAAAATGGCTCACGTTATATAAAAGATTATCGGGCTAAGAACGTTCTTGATATCGCGCGAAAAATCGTCGGCGATTATTTTCTCAGGTCACGAACCTGATTAAGAAATTATGAGATCTCAGCCAAGGACTAAATTAGCGTTGAAATGCGTACGTGACTGTATTTGAATTGGACGTAATTTTTTTTTCATTTTGAAAAAAGAATTTCGGCCTCGTTCCAAACTTTATTAACGTTATCGTCATTTTGAATTAGTAATTTGAGTTAAGTCAGGCATTTAGGTCCATTATAGGTCGTAATGGGATATAAAGGATTTTCAAAAATTTTCAAAAATTTTTTTTTAACTTACGTCACTATACTCAAACTGCTCGTTGCTTCCTCCTGCCGTACCTGACATACTTGTTTCAGTAGCGATTAGTTACTTAAGATAGTTTCGTTAACTATTCCCCGCGACGCGCCTACAGGAACTTTCAGTCTGAAAAGTAAATGACTGCAAGTAAGACGTAAAGTGCCTAAAATGATTAGAGAGCATGGCAGAGTTATGTTCATTAAGTCATTTTACAAAGTTCGTTTAGTACCTTTGGCAATCCTTCCTTTTGCTTGAATCTCCTTTTCATCCCCCTCTGGCAGCTTTCGTCATTTCCTCTCCGACCTAGCGAGCACATCCTTCAGAGATGGTACAGAGAGTAAATTATCCCTTGTAGTCCGCCATCTTCCCAAGAAGCCAGTTTAGCTTTATTAATTAGCTTCGCACTTACGTTATACTTCTGGATACATTTGTTTGTAAAATTTTGAAATTACGTCAAAAATATAATTATTATCAAAAATAAGAATTATTGGTCATTTAAATGCACGTTGAACTGGTATACGTATAAGATTTTTAGGGAGGCGAATTTCCGAATTGCATTTTTTTTTTAATTGCAAATTCTGTCTCTTCTGCTGTCAGGAAATTGAAATACTTGAGGATTGTACAATTGGCGAATTTTACATGTATGGTACGTGGGCTGTGGGTAAATTACGTGTTTCGTAAAGCCTTGAGGAGTTCTCATATTACCGTGAGTGGGAAAGGCTCAAAAGTCCAGGTAAGTTAACTCGTACGGAGTATACTTTGAAGTCACTCATATACAATATACATATATATAAACTCGAAATACAAGAACGACTAAGTTAACGTACGATTGTGCTTACGAGTGTGAACTTTACCTTGGTTAATAATAAGCAATTCGCGTAAAGTGCGGCCATTACTCAGAAATAACGTTTGCAAAGATACTGGCAAACTCATGAAAATTAATAAGCTTATAAAAAGAGGTGAAAGCACGTGCACCCTTTTATTTGAAAAAAAAAAAAAAATTTCATCCCCAATCATTTTCAAAAGCAGTCAACTACAGCGAAAGCTGCCTGAACGACGCCAATATTTAAAAAATTTTCAAACTAGCGGAAGACCCAAAAAAATCGATTCCCCATAGTCAAAATTATGCTGAAAATTTTTTTGAAAATTTTTTCCCTCCTTACAAATCGATACCCACCCTTCGCGAGACTAAAGGGGGTGATCTAATTTCACGGTACCAAGAACACCAGTGGTGGTGAGTCGAGTAGGGGTTGATGTTCTCCTTACGAGATAGGTAATGGATAAGTAGGTAGATAAGTATTACTATGCAGGGTAGTTTCGTAGCGAATTTCCCGTAGCAGGTAAACAACCCCTATTCACTTTTTAAAGTCTCCCCAGCACCTTTCCGGCTCGACCCAGACTCGTCTGCATCTAAGTAGCGTAGACGCGTGCACTTGACTACACGCAGTATCAGTAGAAGATAAAAACATAGAATATAAAAGTCAGTGCTTACTCGATACTCCGTAGCAGTAAGCAAGGTAGCTGCGGCATTGTAAAGGGAAGGGTCGTTTGGTTGTACCTACCTTCGATAATCCTGTCGGCTGACAGGCATTATCATATTCCGCGCGTATCCTAGCAAATTTATAGGTTATAAATATCGATCGAATAACAGGACCCACGTGGGACGTCTTGTATTATAAGGCGCATGTAGGTAGGCAGGTACCTAGGTAGGTTAGGTAGGTATCATGGGACATATAGGTATACAGCCACTGCAAATACCTACCCGCGAAGGAATCGAACCCCACGTCCACCCAACATTTATAGTCATGACTCTCTGACACTGGTGGCAATTGATACGCGCTCCCTTCTGATATATATGGCCGGCCGTATATTTCACTAGATTGGCAGACGCGGAGCGGCGAGCGTTGCTCTTGGGGTTTGTTGCGCTCACGACCTTCGCTGACCGACGAGATCGGCATACCAGAGGTCCGTGAATTATTACCGTCACTGACCTAACCTCTCCTGGGTTAGCTCGTTCGAATCCCCTTTCGCGTCTCTTTAGAAGTTAAATATATTTAATGCTTTCTTTTCGACGAATTCCATTTTGTTTGGTTTTAAAAAAATTTTGATAAATTTTTTCGATTTTTTTTTTTGAATAATTTTTTTTCCCCTAATCGGGATGATTTTCGAAATTGTCTTTGAAAATTTTACTTGTATGCATGGGCTGCTTTTCTATTCAAGACGGATGCTTTTTTTTGTAACGAGTAAAAATTCAACCCTCCGTCTAGATTAATCGAAAACATTACTCGTAAATCGTTGGGGGATGGAAGTTGACATTAAGCTAAGCGAAGTCGACCGGTTGCATAGATACGCAGGATAGATATCGCGTACGTGGAAAACCTAACCCCTCTGCATAACCGTCTGCGGCGCGCCCTTAAATTCAACCGTTAAAAAAAAAAATTGGTAATCGGTCACAGGTCACGGGTTCGTCGACATTGTGGTTACTTCGTTAAAAGGAATTGTCACAGCATCCCCTTTAAAATTTCTATAGCGCGTACGAATCTTCCGCTTGAAAAAGCCACCCCCAACGCTAGGGGTGGGTTCGACAACGACCCTCGGAAAATATGATCCAGGTCAGGGAGCGTTCTGGCCAAAGTCATTTTCCACAATTATTACTCGCCGAGAGAGGAAAACCTTGTCGATCTCTCCGACACAATCAGCTCGAAAAAAAAAAGGTACAAGCAACCAACCCCTAATAGAAAGCATTGAGATACGAACAATACGTAAAATATAAATTAAAAAAAAAAATAATTATAATTAACCCTTAGAAAACATTTTTTCACACCTTGTCAACCGACTATTTAAATTTTCTTCGTTCCTCCGGTTTCGTTGCTTTTTACGATTACGCACGTCCATGTCTCTCGTACTTACCATTTTTTTTTTTTTTTCAAAGGGTTCAAATTTCGACCAACCTTTTTCCTCTCAGTTTCCTACGCGCCCGTCATCTACTCGCAGACTCTAATACCGATCCTCTTATCTCTCAAGGTTTTATCGCGGCAGCGTATAAATATATATATTCATGACTCTCGCTGTTTCACCTTGTAGGTGTATCACTTTAAATGCGTCCTTTGCGAGCGGCGCTTTCCGTACGGCGGCCGATAAAGGTGCTCGGGAGGCGAGCAAAACAGAGGGAATTCATTAGGGAATGCGACGCGGTATGCCACTACGTATTGCGCGGCTGTCGAGTCTCTGATTATAAATGCGTTAATGTCACGGGTTCCCTGATAGGGGGCACGCGCCTGCCTTCCTAGAAATTCAGGTTCACGATATAGTCATTGCTATTTCTGCTAGAGATATCCCTCCCGTCTGCGTCAAGCCTGATTGAGCAAAGTGGCAGCGACTATATAAAACTAATACAGCATATTAACAAAATATCCCTATTATAATTGCATCTACCCTTTGATGAATAATTATCAGGTATAAAATATTCCCGAGCACTTAATGGACTTGGATAAATGTTAATTAACGATAATGTAATCCTCATTAATCTTTCGGCAGTGATGTTTTTCCAAATGAGCTTTCGCGTTTTGAGCGGGGGGGTGGGAATAATTTGAGGAAAAAAAAAAATTAATATTATCCCCATGAATTTACGGTGTAAAGTGCGTTCGAGCTAACTCCAGGGTATACCCGCGATATAAATAGCACGAACGCAGCATAGGATGCGGTTTGACTCGATGTTTCGGCAGGGCCAAAGGGAGTGTACTCCTATTGGCTTATAGCCGTTAGATCAATGGCGGACGGTGGTCCTTATATCAAAGAACATCAAAGTCGCTTTTTGCCCTAGACTGGAGATGGTGCGTCAGCGTATAAGGGTGGTAAATCCTGTTCGAAATTTATCCTTGGAACCGTCTGGCAACAAGCCGCCGGTATCTGTGTGTGTAGACCTGGAAGAGGAAATACAGCCATTGCACGTTATGAGTCTGGCTTGGGGATCCTACCTCTTCCAATGCTTCTCATAGCTACCTCTGATTCCGGTTACTCCATTCAGAGATTGGCTTCTCGATCCAAGAAGTAAGTAAAGCCTCGAAGAGACGGACGCCGATGGTGGTAGGACGGGGACGCGTTGCTCCAGTTTTATACCGTAAAGGAGACGCCGGGCGAGTCCGAGGAAGCGGAAGAGCTACGCGGAGGAAGAAGATTCAAGAAAACCTTAAGAGAAGCCTGGTGCATTGAGTATATGGTATATGGGCTGTATATCTATATATAGTCAACCTTATCTACTTATCCCAGATTAGGTTCCCAAGGTAAAGTTTATCCCTGCTATCACGTACCTACGTTTTCACATACGTATATCCAGTAGGTACGTACCTGTACTCGAGATTGGTCTAGGACAGACTATAAAGTCACTGGGCTGAAGTAAAATGAAAATAAAAAGAAAAGAAGTTTTTAAGGCCAATAGAGACTCGATGTATTTCGAGTAAAAAAAAAAAAAAAAAAAAAAAAAAAAAAAAAAAAAAAAAAAAAAAAAAAAAAAAAAAAAAAAAAGTAAAAATAAAATAGAATATCTTCGTCGAATGGAAATAAAATTTGTACCCTGCTTGTTCAATGCTCAGGACAGTCATGACGGTTCTGTACGTTTGTTAGCAAGCTGATTCCGGGGCGTTGCTAAGTATTTTGTTGCGATGTAACGCAGGAATTTTTGTATATTTCGGTCGCTAACGACTGCCGTGTATTTCGTTGGGTGGTACGAATAACACGGCGGGCCAGTGAGGTTCTCATTGTAAATGTGTAAAAGGGGAAGAAAGGAGGTGGCTGGCTTTTCGCCAGACGCCCACGCGTCCCGACGCCCTTTAGACGACTACGTGGAAGACAACGACGCCACTCTAATCCCAACAGAGCTGCTGATAAATATGCGGACGTCGGGACGGACGCGTCGCGGAACGATCCTGTCCTCGGGTCGTTCCTTCTAACCGTATCTATTCGGGTTAACACGCGACGGCATTGGACCGTCAAGAGAAAGATAAAGATAAAAGGGGAAAGAAAAAGAGAAGAAAAGGAAACGTCTCGGAACGTGTCTTTCGTCGAATGGATTCGTTTTACTATTTCTCTCGCGGCTTCGACGCCCTTGTCAATCTTTTCGAAAGGCCGTTGCTTTATTGGATGATCTTGTCAAATGGTATGCACAGGATTGTAGAATGAATTATTTTATTTTTCTTGATTTTACATCGATAGGGACGTTCGTTTGCGAAATTCGTCTTGAGTATTGTTTTTTGAAATTGTTAAGTTGTACCTTTTTGTATTTCGATATGCTCCAGCAACGTTGTATTCAATTTTCGTTACTTTCCTTCTGCATTGCCGTCACGAACTCGTTACGCAATGTTAGGTTATCCTGTTACATATTTATCAATTCCTTTGAACACTTTTTGTCGTGAGAGAGAGAGAGAGAGAGAGAGAGAGAGGAGAGAGAGAGAGAGAGAGAGAGAGAGAGGAGAGAGAGAGAGAGAGAGAGAGAGAGAGGAGAGAGAGAGAGAGAGAGAGAGAGAGAGGAGAGAGAGAGAGAGAGAGAGAGAGAGAGGAGAGAGAGAGAGAGAGAGAGAGAGAGAGGAGAGAGAGAGAGAGAGAGAGAGAGAGAGGAGAGAGAGAGAGAGAGAGAGAGAGAGAGGAGAGAGAGAGAGAGAGAGAGAGAGAGAGGAGAGAGAGAGAGAGAGAGAGAGAGAGAGGAGAGAGAGAGAGAGAGAGAGAGAGAGAGGAGAGAGAGAGAGAGAGAGAGAGAGAGAGGAGAGAGAGAGAGAGAGAGAGAGAGAGAGGAGAGAGAGAGAGAGAGAGAGAGAGAGAGGAGAGAGAGAGAGAGAGAGAGATTCAAAGAAATCTAATACAGCGTGTTCCTATCCTTCGGTAACGCCCACTTGTACTACCTTTGTTGTCTACGTCGCTCCGGTGAAAAACTGACAGAAAAGTTTATCGAGATCTACGATGCGGATTAGACGACGGTTTTCCTGCACTCTCATTTCCAACTCCTTTGCCCACAGCGGAAAGTATACATCATTCGCGGCGGTGCTGTTTGTTACACTGCGGCTTGGCCGGACCGCTGCAACTTTTCAAAGCAATATTTGTCACACGGCCGTCCTGTTCCTTTTGACATTCGACGAGGCACTACGTCGCGCGAGCTACGGTGCGCTCGTCGTTAGTAGTTCCATGTCTGGCCGCTAGGCGCGCCAACTGAAATCCTATGGCCATTTAAAAGATACTCAACGTACGAAAGTTTTCCATTCCCGAGCGGAGAATGGAGTACGACGCGTATCGTTACTCCCGTTGGACGGTAAATGGGATAATTGTTAAAAATAAATATAAGGAGATAATAAAAAATAATTATCTTACTCCAAGGAATTTGTGAAAAGTGATTTCTCGTTTGGCATGTTAATTTCTCGCATGACTGCCCTTGAATTCCACAACTCGACTCGGAAAGTCGTGCTAGCCACAGAAACTCGACGCTCTCGCGTGGATAACTAGACGCTGGTATAAATTACGCGTCGACTCGAAAAGCGGAAGCGGTCACGACGGATTTGTGGATTCCGCAGCCATTTATTCGAAAGCTACCGCGGGGCACGTTAACCGAAGAAATATTAATCACCGTCATTTTTAATGTCACGTACACTCTTCATCGGGTCTACGAGGTGTCAATGCATTTATCGTCTATCGAAATCAAATTAGACACTGAGAGAAATATAAATTTTCTTAAGATGAATTATTATAAATAAATGTATGAATTTTGAATTTTATTCAATTAGTTAAAAAATTCAATTTTTTAAACAAATTACCGATACCCTACGTCGCTCATCCTCATCATATTTTTAATTAAAATATTATTTTAAGTCGTCCTCGCTCGTACTGCTTCTCTTGGAATCCAAATGAACGACACATTTTAATGACGTACGTTGTTTCAGATCCTCCTGTTGTCGCGTAGCGCAGCCGGTTGAGGTCCCAAGCGGAGGCATCAAAGAATGAAGATAATACTACAGTAACAGCACCGGGAGCGCAACGTTACGATTGGAATAACTTCTAAATGTGTCAGCTGCGTTCACTCGGCCCGTAAATACCATCGCTTTATTATCAAAGAGTTCCACAAATACAATGCCAAACAAACCGACCGCAATGAACACTCCGCATAGGTATGTACACTTTGGCGTATAAAATAAAAAAGTCAGACTGTCGTCATATTTGTTTTTCAAAAATCCGTGAGGTAAAAAAAGGAAAGGGAGAGCAAATAAAAGATAAAGGAAACACAAATACGGGAATACCAAGGAAATCACGTCCACGAAATTGACGATAATAAAAAGAAACCGTCATTGCCCTATGACGTCACCTAACTCTATATCTCGTTATCACCTGCATTTTATCACCTGTAAAGCTTCTCTAATTCGAATCTAATTATCAAATATTGCTTTCAATTGCTTTCTGTCTATTCGTATCGGTACTAGGTAAAGTTATTGTCACCCGAGTTAATATCTACGCTGAATTACCATCGGCTGTATAATTTTAAGTCTCGCGCACAATGACATCAAGGCATTGGCGCATTTCCACGGCGCATTAATTTTTCGACAAAGTAAATGACCTGTTTAGTGGCGTCGACGGCCGTTCGCCGTGAAACATCTGAGAGAATATTTCTTGCTTGTAATTTGACATGTATATCTTGTCTTTCGCTGATATACATGTATATAATACATTTATGTAGATATTACCAGAAGCTACTAGATGGATGTTAAGTGGCTCAAGGCGCAACTTCAACAAGTATCGGTAAGCTTTTAGCTCATTAAAACTCTAGACGAGGATACTGTAGTTGCTTGTGAAGACTGACGGCACATTTAATTTTTTGAATATATGCAAGCGTATTTTTGCGTTTGACCTTTGTTTTTTTTTGTTCAAATCCTTTAAGATGCTAAGTTGAAATTTCTTACCTAATCTCTTAGGAACAGGTTAGGTTAGAATGAGAATGCGGATGAAATCTTTGAGTGATTTATTTTTTTTTCTATTTTCGAAAAGGCGGTACTGTGGATTGTAAATCATCGATCGGTATCGGATACACGATTTATGGAATATTCGATACTGTATAAGTCTTCTATGGCGTTCAAGGTGCTTCTGAAAGGGATGAGCTTCTGTCTTCATTATTTATTCTCGTTAACTGATTATTATTAAGAGACTTAATTACTTCCGTAGTCGAGCGTTATTATCTATCTGAAATACATGATTAGGGATGCTGCGATCGAAATTGAATTATGACTCGATTTTACGACGCAATTCCAGTTACGTTGTTTATATATGAAATTGCTTTTACGCTGTTAAATCAGGTATTTTTACATGAAAAGCGAATGGGTTAATATTTAACTGTATATTAAAATTAATTTTTTTTTTTCAACAAAATTTTCAAGTATCAAGCGCTATGTCTTTTAGTATATATATTTTTTTGGCGTAATATTTTGCACAGGCTAATTTTTGCGTTCGCAAAAAGATTTATCTATTGCCAAAAACTTAAAGCCGCGTGCTTATGCGACATCGTGTGTGCACCTATGGGAATCCAGTTCAAAGCATTCCCTACACGCGGCGGTACGAAAGTCTGCATAGTTCTAAGTAGGAATGCCATGGGGTGTCGTCACGGTCCGAGGAAGGTTGGTTACACCCCGTGAATTACAGTTGTTCGTTACGATGGTTCACTGTACATCTTCACCTCGTAAAATACCATGGTTCGTTCAGCAGTCGAGAAGTATTCGCAGTAGGGAAGTCATGCAAATTCCGATCTACTCTTTGAAGTGAAAACGTGTAAATGTGAAAAAAGATACTGGAATAAAAAAAAAGTAAATAAAAATGTTATTTTTTACATTTATTTACTTGTGGGTAATTTTCTAAAATATTTTCATGAATATTATCGATATTTTAAAAATATTTCTACAGCCGCAGTACTTCTAGAAGCCTCCGCCCTTTGAACTGCTACGACGGTGCGAGTCATTTATCATTTAGACGATCGAGGTTAGTAGATTTATTTCTCACGACTTTCCTATTTCCCATTGGCTCGCGGCGCAATGAGTTTTCATGGTATAATCAAAAAATCCATGTTTTCAGTATGACCGGTAAAAAGGACTCCCTGTGACACGTGTTTCCATTTGCAAATATTTTTACTATGCGTTTCAGCAGCAGCCTTTTAGGTTAACGGAATTGGGAATTCAGGGAAATCGCACAGGAATCCCTGTATCGGGCGTGCATTTTTACAGTTACAAAAAATGGAACTGGATTGCAATTTCCAAATTTTTATTCGTGAAATTTTACCACGGAACTAGGATCCAGCTTGTAATTGGAGATCGTGGCGAATAATTTTTTTTCAAAAAACACTTGTATTAAATAATATAATATAATACAAAAATACAAAAAAAAAATTGCAACATTTTTTTCACCCCATTACCACACTCCAAATTTCAACCAATACTCACTGCACTTAGGAAAGCGTCGAAATGATAAGATTACAATTACATACCCCGGTGAAAGGCAGGAGAAAGTAAAACCAAGGTGCATAAGGTATCGGTGTCACAGATACAGGACCTAAAAAACACATAAGCCACGAAATGCGCGATTTCAATCTTGAAATATCACATGTCGTAATATTCAAGTATATTTTAATGTACCGATCGAATTGCTGTTAAGGGGTCATTGCGTAACACGAAAAAGTATCAGGACGTAACCATTGTTCCATTCCTCTCGAGTTACCCGTTAAAAAACATCAAAAAATGTCCAGCCGACAATCAATTCGATAAAACAATCGTTTCGCACAGTGCATGAAAAAAAAAAAAATAAAAAAAACATTGCCCAATCCTTAATCGCAAATATCTTAGCATAACGCATTGACATTTCTCATATGAGCAACACTGGCTACCCCTGTGCATTAACACTGGTTCATTCTCCATTCGTTTGCAAAAAAGCAAGTCTACACTCCCGGTCAATTATCTTGGAGCAAAAACATAATCGACCCGTAATCACAAGCAAAGGTGGTACCAGCTACCCGAGAGGAAGCTGGAACGAGTTTCAGAGTTGATATTAGTACCATTTTTATTTTTTTATTGTTTTTTACCCCAGTTACGTAACATCCTCGTCCATACAAAAATTCTATACCATTTTCTTCACAGTACAGTCCTAAGGCAGTTACCACAGTCGTACCATAGATTTCCTTGGATAAAATATATATCCAGCGTATTAAGGTACCCATTGAGGTCATATCCCTTGACACATCCTGTATGGTATCGCGAGTATCCAGACCGTCGAAACTCTATGACAAGATTCCAGGATGTGTGCTATATTGAATTCCAAGACGATCAATCAATCAAACCGAAGCGAAAATGACCTCAATTGCGCGATACTTGAAATACCAATAAGCGTATCGAGATCGGGTCCATTGATCGACCTTGTAAAAGGTTACGGCAGTACTTGACGAGGTCACGGTACCGAGATGGGACACGTGGAAACGTTAATTCGGTACAGGCGAGATTAATATACAGGGTGGTAAAATCTAACGAGGAAAACAATGGTTCACTGTACGTAGGTATGTTTATAGATATGATAATAAAAGCTGGCAGATTGTACGAGATGAAAGCATAAGAAATTTTTATTCACGGACCATCTTGTGTATATATATATATATATATATATATATATATATATATATATATACTTCCATAATGCTGATACGTAATGATTGCTGTTACCCCCCGAAATTCACTCGTACCGTTTTACTCCCTTATATATAGTTATACACTGGTGACTCGTACAATTGTAATTCAATTATTTTTACAAGATTGACGTTCCAGTCGTTACCAGCCGAGACGTCCCACACCGTACGTAATTCTGGTACCTACCCACATGCCTCGCAGCATCCAGCGTATGGATAATTCAGTGAAATACCTAAGGAATCAAGAAAGTAAGGAAATACGTATACGTAGTTACGCGGTACGTAATACCAGTGCAGTTGAATTTTGGGTAATGGAATCGAAAGCCCTGTAGATAGATTAACTGACTAGGTAGGTAAGTGCTGCGGGTCATAGGGTTACACGTAAGCCAATTGGTTGGTCCATTATTAATCAAATAATGAATAAAAGTTTTCATTGATTTATTTTATGATTATTTTGAATTCATTTTCTTTCACTTATTCATATATAATTTTAAGATTGTCAAAATTAAATAATTCTTTTTTTTTTACCATTTAGGGTATACAGGTTGTACGACGTAAGCAAGATGAAATTTTTTACAACATACCGTAAGAACAATAATTCTTGTTTAAAGCGAAACTTTGCATACAAGCCAATTATTTCAATTCCAAGCGATCGTTCCTCCAATCGTAAAGGTCGAACGGTCACGGGGCCTTGTGGGTCCTACCAAGTATGTATATACCTTTAAGGCGGAGACTTACAAGCGCATATATATATATATATATATATCCATATCCATATAACATACCGGTAAGTATGCAGGCTTTAAGGCGGAGACTTACAAGCGCTCCAAGCGATCGTTCCTCCAATCGTAAAGGTCGAACGGTCACGGGGCCTTGTGGGTCCTACCAAGTATGTATATACCTTTAAGGCGGAGACTTACAAGCGCATATATATATATATATATATATATCCATATCCATATAACATACCGGTAAGTATGCAGGATGCATTAGGTAATGGTATCGGCGTTATGGCCGAACGGACCAACGAAATGACGGACGGATGGATGGATTGGTGGATGGTTCTGGGCCCCTTCGGCTTCATGGGTGGAGGCCATGGGGGTAATTACACAAGCAAACAAGGGGCGGTCCCCGTAAGATTATAGGGTCCTCTCTCGATGCTCCTCTAACCCTCTGCTCTGCTGTAATTACGGGCCCAAACTGGCCTCTCTTACCCCCCTCCCCCTCCTCTCATCAATTATTATTATTATTCTTATTCCCCTCCACCCCTCTGGTACCAATTCAGGCATACCTCGTATTCCCATCTTGATTCCACCCTTGCGAGTTCTCAGACGTGACTCATTGACATCGTGATCCATTTCGTGACCTTTGACCCTTATTACAATAATCCCTTTCTTTTTGCCCTCGTACGAAAGGATCGAATACGATGGGCTACGTAGTGGAAGGAAATTTTTCAAAAGATTTTTTTCTTTGATTTTTTTTTTCCTTCTCCCCGTGTTCTGTATATTAGTTAGACACGGTTTTTTGTATGGTTATTCTCATTGGGAATCGAATACCTAATGTCTGCCGTGTTAAATATATTTTTTTACCGAGGTCACTCCACTGTTCTACTTCTACTTAAATTCCATTTGCTTCCGTTGGGCCTTAATCGTTTGAGCTTCTGGCTAATCGAGTTCGTTTGGTTCGTGTTAGGTCGTCGGTTCGTTCCTTTTCTTCGTCTTCTCTTCCTCCTATATACAGGTTGTTCTAAAGTGGGCGAGAGCTCAACAGGTACGTTTGTTTCAAGGGGGATAGGAAAGAAAGTTGGGTACCTTGGTCTAGGTGGTGGAAGGTTCTCTTTAAGAATTCAACAGGCCCATTATATAATCGATGCCCGTGAATATACCGGGTGAGCATTGACTGAATTTTTCTTGGTGACGCTGAATTGATTTTTCTTTTATTTAATTTTTTTTTTTTTTTTTTGATACTTCAAACTACCTAAATATTTTTTCGCTTTTGCCATTCGAATTTTTGGCTGGTCCGAGGTTGGCACTTACGAGGGATTTTGGATCGATTCATAGGCGAAACAGAGGTGTTTAGACCAGGCCTAGATGTTACGCTTAGATTTGGGCCTCACGGCTGGAACGTCGGATGGGCCTCACGTCCCACGAAAGTGCCGGGGCTAAGATCGGCGCATATATTAAGCGATAACAACGCAACAGTTATACGCTTGGTAACGCACGAAATTTTTATTCCTTTTATTAAAATTTTCGAATTTTCTTCTCTCCCCCGAGACTTCGCGCTTGTCCCGCACATGCGCGCCGCCCGATAAAAGTTTTACCGGGTCCGCCGCTCGCGTGGTTATTGTCAAAGACCATCAGCGTCACTTACCCCGCGTCATTTTCGAATAATAAATAACTTAACCAGACCAGGTGCGCACTCAGTCCAGAATAATCGTAAATCCGTATAAGAAGCCTTATCTAACAATTTCTGCGCTTCTAAAAACTTTTACCCATGACCCCCGATCATTTATTACTACGCCTAACCACTCCATCCAGATAACTCTTACGGGCCTATTCTCATGTATAAAAAATATGAATAAATTTTTCAAAAAAAAAAAAAAAACTCAAATATTCAATAAAAAGACAACAGACCCAGCCGTAAAGTCACGAAGGAAATTACGTGCCGAAAACGTTGGTATCGTCGGACCAAGACAAGAACACCAATGTACATGTCCGCTCGTCCCGAAGTCGGTACCAGTCGGCAACTCCGAGCGGCGTTCGGGTTCGATTTACGTTTTTAAAACAGTTAGCTGCCTCGAACGAGTCGAGGGTGATAAACGAGCGCGCACGCTGACGCGCCTAAATTAAACAATAACGAAGCGCATCCCGAAGTCAGAGCGCGATTTGCTGGTGGGAAAAGGAGGCTTGTGCGCATGCGCGCCAGAGCAAGGGCCTCGGCCATATAAGATACGAGAGGTGAGAAGCGGACGGCTTCGCGGGTCTGGCCCGTAGCTCGGCATAGCAATGGCATACACGTAGCTCAACGGCGAGAGCCGTATGGAGCCCAAGACTTCAGTGGAGATGGTAAGTCTCATAATTGGATGATGGGAATCACTGGAAATAATAATTGACAATATGGCGCCTCGTGGGAGATCCTATCGGGAGGACCTGTAAATAAATGGTTACTGACAACTACTCCTTCGCGCACTCTCTCTTTCTCATTCTCCCATCTTCTTCTCGAGGTAACGGGAGAAAATCGTAGATAGCCAGATAAAAATTCTGATTCTTCTCTCTGGCCTTTAACACGCCTCCATACGTGCACGAGTATTATGAATATTATTGGTGTGAAAATTTTACTTTCTTTTTTTTTTTGACAAATTTTTTACTTTCTTTATTTCTTCACTTTCTTTACGTGCTATTGTTTTTTTTTTTTTTTCTTAATTTTTACTCTTTCATTTTGTCACTCTCGACCAATGCTCCTTCCCCCCTACGATTTCACGTACGAGTCATACTGCTCGTCTCGTAATGTATCGGAATGCGACTTTCCGGACCTTTATAGGTTTTTGGCTGACAACTAACAGGACCAGTTCCCGTAAATTCATCGAGTTTATAGCTATGGGGTTATACATTGAATACGTTATTATACGTGGACTGCCACGCTCGCGGAATAACTAAGTGTTATACGTGCCAGGTGACTTTAACACGTGAATGTATATATGTAAATATAATATATCG